TGTGTGTGTGTGTGTCAGGTCAGCTGTATGTCCCATTTCTCAGTTTGGATGGTCATCAATGCCCGTTTGGAAATGACATCATTAAGCCCCCTCCTCCGTCCATCAGCAGTTTACTGAAATATGCCTGCTCTACATTACTCCACTCATTTTCTATTTTGGATTTGTGGATAATGATGGTGGGATGGAGGGCAGCGGGGGGATAGAAATGATAAAAGAGGGGAGAGGCAGCATTAAAAGAATAATTTGAGGGTCTTGAGGGTTCTGTCTCCTCTCTCCGTTTCTAAAATAGAATTTGCGATAGTCCCCGCCGCTGCCGCCGAGTCTGTCGAGGGAATAATGACTTATTTATCAAATGGCTGAAATATTCAGGGACAAGACCTTTTTTAAAATCCAGCTTTTAAATTCATAGGCTTTTCTGCTGAGATGCTTAATGACAGTGAATGTATTCATAGTGATTTGCAGGTCCGAGATGGAGCCTTGTGTCCTGCCTATGAGTCTAATAGCTGTTTGACAAAAAGGAGAGTGCTCGCTTAAGACAAGGTGAGTAAGAGAAGTTTCACCTTTGACCTCAGGGGAGGCTCAGTGAATCAAATTTGTGTCAGAACCGCCTCCTCCTGCCAAGTACAAGGGCTGCGTTGCTGGAGCAGCGCTGAAAACATGTTTTGCAGCTGGAGAGATAAAATTGAATGTTCTCTAAAAGCGCTCTGTTGCAGGCAATCAGCCATGAGTAAATGTTTCAAGATAAATTCCTGCAGGGGCACACTTTTTCTGGCAGTGCTCAAGACTCTCTCAACATTTGGAGGGACCAAATCAGCTGGGTGGGGGGCTGGGCGGGGAGGAGGGAGGGGCTGGGGGGTCGGCTCGGGGGGGGTGATGGTGATAAATGAGTGTTATTCTTACTTCTACGAAGGAATGGACGAAGTTTGGAGATGCTGGTGATGATGAAGCGCCGTGCGGGGCAGCATCGGGGGTTAATGAGATGTACGCAGACACAGAGCAGCTTGCATGCGTCAGTCTCATGACAGAGCAGAGGAGAAGAGGGAGAGGAGCTCAGAAAGTAGAAAAAGCGCTGTACACGGTGCAGATTATAGCCAAACGGCGCAATCCGTGCGTAATTACGCACCGCAGCGCCGGAGCCAGAGCTCAGAGGGCGGCGAACTCCTGCCTGCGCTGCGTCCCACCCTTATTTTCTCCAAAACACCAGCGCACTTCTGTCTCTATCCCCTGTCTGCTATCACCCCGTTCACAATGGCGAGGCTGTGGAGAAACTGACCGGGCGCTTACCTTAACACGTTCCAGCTTTTCAGAGGGTCCAGGTCTGAAATTATAGAAACCATGGTCGACTTGCTGGGCAGCACCGGGAGAGGGAGGGGGTGCGGCAGAAAAAGATCGAAAGAAAAAGCGGCGCAAAGGCTGTAAACTCCGTCTGCGAATGGCAGCGATTGCTCGGATGCAACCCGTCCTGGTTGTTCAGTGGGTGATGAGCGCTGTCACAGCTCTCTCTCTCTCTCCCTCCCTCCGCCCCCTCCTGTACAAAGCCTGAGCTCTGCGGACGCGTCTCAGAGCTTCCTCCTGGTCCCTCTTTTACAGGAAGGCTGCCGCTGGAAATGCAGAGATGTACAGGAGAGGAGGGTAAACCCCACCTAGGAAACTAATTTACCCATCTTTTCTTTTCTTTTTTTTATGCACCGCGGGGAATAGAGTTTACACACCTTTTTAGGGCTGGCACACTGTAGAACTGGCACACTGCAAAAAATATCCATCTGAACGTCTTGATTTGTTTCAGTTTTAAGCTTAAATCTCCTTTGAGGATGTTCTTTTGTCAGTGGGGAAGATATATTTCACACGCAATTTGACTTGTGTGAGCAGGCTATTTTAAGAGAGGAAATTGCACCCATTGTAAAATGCCTGTTTGCATAGAGAACAAATGGAAGAGAAAAAAAGTTGACATAAAAGAATAAAAGACATGTCATAGTCTCACTTTTTTTGATTTACTTCAACTACTCATTAAAAAAACAAATAAAACCCTTCTTAAAGCAATTATTAATTACCAATTGCAATTAAAGTTTCCCCTAAAAGCAGGCTTAGCTGGAAGACTGAAGCACAATTAATGCTCTCATCTTTCATTATCCAGCTAAAGCTGATCAGAAACCACTTGATGAAGCTGCTGCAGCTATCCAATTACATGTCAGATATTTTACAGCTGAGACCTCGTTCAGACCGAACTGTTCGCTGGAGTGTGTTGCAGTAACTAAGTTCGAGGCATCATCACAGCGCTGCAGAGCACCTAGTTCTCTCTGCAAACCCCTGTCAGCGCCGACTTCCTGTCTGACACCACCACATCCTGTTGATAACTGTTTTTTTTCTCTTCTCTTTCTCTTTTTCCCTCCCCTTCACATGGTAGCAGATGCGTCATCCCTGGCGAGGAATGACAAGGCAACAGCCAAGTCCCACCTATTCTGAGCTTCTATCTATTTGCTCATTGGGAAAAAACAGATGAGCCCCAATGGAAAAAAAGCCCGGAGTGTGTCAGAACTGTGTCTGTTTCAGATAATTGTCTGGGACAACAGAACAGAGTGGGACTAAAAGTCTCTGCCAAAGCCATTGCAGTTACAGCACAAGTGCTTTGTTATTTGCAGGGTTATGATATTAGTCATTGCACATGCACTCACAGATAACGGTCCGTTTGACAGGAAACTGCTGTGGTTTCATTTTAGAGAGTTGGCTTGGAAAAATGTCCTTTGAATATCAGACATAACTCTATCTTGTTTTAACTTGATTATTTTTTCTTTTCCGTTTTACCAGCTGGTTTGGAATGGTTAAACTATGTGCAATTAGAGGACCATGAGCTCCACCAGCTGAAGTTAAAACCTTTTTTAGGTTAGCTTTTCTCCAATAATGAGCTTAGAGGTCATTTCCACTCTGACATTCTGCAGAGCGGAAACGCTAGTTCACGTGGAAGCGAATTTGAGCTCCGAGTCGAGCACACTGTAGGTAAGACAACAGTAATGCAAAGCTACAGCTCGGCGCTCTCAGCATCAGCAGCCATACTGCACCGGCTTTAAATAGACTCAATTGGACATCTGCTTCAGTGAGGAGGAGGAGGAGGATGGAGAGAGTTGACAGCATCTCTCTCCTCTTCCTCTGTCTCTATTTCTGTCTCTCGCGCCCGTATAGACACGAAGGATAGCGCAAACGCACACACGCACATCGGAGGGATCAAACAGAGTTTAGCTCTCCTCTGCACAGTTCTAATTTCTGCATAATAATCACGTTGGCAGGCCTGACGTCTCGGCAGTAGGTGTTGGTGCATCTGTACAAGTTAGCAATGCATATATACACCTGTGTGCATGAGCGAACAGAAGGGTGAGACCATTGACTGTAAGGTTTTAATTATCTTCTTCACAATTGGTTTTTCTTTAGAGAAAATGTTGTTCTCATCTTTGAGCGACGGCAAATGTTAAACCAACTGTCAAGCAACGTTTCAATTTGTTCCTTTCTAGATTTCCTTTTGTTGAACTTCATGTTTCAATAGAAGGCGTTCCTGCTAACTTTCACAGCTTGTTTCAGTTTGTTTCTTAATCAGCTGCAACGGTAAGCATTAATTAGCTTGAACTCTTACCTGAAATTAAGTGTGTTAAAACAATAGTGTTTAATATTGAATGTGGCTTCAATCATTATTGTGTTACTGAGGGTTAAAAATGTTGAGAACTAGTCCTTTCTGGAATAAACATGAAGCCGAAACTGCTTTTCCTTGATAAAATACACTATATTACAAACATTAGTTTTAGTCCAGACCCTGTTCACACTAGCTGTCTACAAACAGACCGGGAGGAGTAAACATGGAGTCTTACAGACTGACAGGTAGCTCATTAGTTGGACAGGTTTGGCGACTGTCAACCTGCATCATGAGCTCATCATCAGGGCCCACGTGAGAAAATCTAATTCCTGTGACAGGTCATGCAGCACTTAAATGCTTCTAATATGAGTATTTATGTTTTCGGGTGTCATAAAGAGACTCCAAATCAACTGCATGTTATGAATAATGACGAAGAGGGAGAGCACTTTTAATGGACTTACACAAGAGCTGAAGACAACAGAGTAGGGTACAACCACAACAGACCACAGTTCTAACTACTTTTACTCATCAGAAAAGCCCCTGTTACCATGGTTACTAAATGATTGCATCCCTAATGCAGATCGATTGAGCCTATATGATTCCTTCCTGAACAGTTCACAATCAGCAGATGGATTTATTAGATAATTGGCATTTGAAATGATGCTAAAATAACATATCGGCTATCGTATAATCCTGTGGTTGTTCGCTTGCTCTCCCACTACAAACCAACTACACAAGACCACAAACAAACCACACAAAGGCGCTTTGGTTAATGTTAGGGAAAGAGTGGGGTTTCTCTTAAATGTTGATTATTTGTATTAAACCATGAGCACGATTCTTCCTTAACCAAGTCCTGCTAGGGCCCGAAGAATAACTACATAAAGTTTAATAATGCTGTTACCCTGTAGTCACTACAGTGCACTTTTGGTGGGAAACAAATGAAATACATTGTCATTAAAGAATTTGTTGTGTTCAGTAGCAACATTTTTGCAACTTACCAACATTTCCGGGACAGGAAGCGTTATGTTTACTTCAAAAACTTATTGCAAACTATACACACACGATTTCTAGGAGACTTTCTAGGGTTGAACTGACGGATGTGGCCTTAAAAATTGAAGCACACAGACTTCATCAATGAAAACAAAATCCTGAGTGCTCTAACATAAGATTAGATCCTGTTAGAAACATGTCTTATGTCCAACAAATGCAACCCAGTAATAATAAAATAAATACTGGAGTAATACATGTAAGTGTTTTAGGTTGAAATTAGTTGTTTTTTAAGTGAAAAAGTCAGATGTTTATTTACTCATATCACTAATGATATTACCTTTTTCCTCTCATAAATATAGCTCATGTTTTAAATTCCAAGCCAACCAGAGCTGATAATTCTCAGCGGCCATGGTATGATGATTAATAATGTATAGTTATTCAAATCAAAAGTATATAATGCACCACTTTATATAGCTTAATTACACGGCACGGACGAGTAAAGTAAAGACAAGTTTAATAATAGATTCAGTAGCTAAAGCAAGCGGAAGATCAACTCCTCTTACAGTAACCTGTGATGTCTTACAACAGGAAAAAAGGGCAAACAGATGCAGAGTCAGTAAAGTGGGGGAAAGGTGCAACAGCGCGGCACAAACCAGGATTCACACTCATGTAGCTCCGTGAACGGGGTATGCAAATGACTCAAAATCAGCTGCCTCTGTGTGAACACACACTCTGCGCCGTCACTGCCTGTTTGAACACACTGATTCTGTTATTCAGCAGAGGATTCAAAACCCCTCGGACTCTCACTGGCACATGCACACACTCAGGTACACACATTTACACACATGTATTCATAGTGAACCACACGCACACAGATGGAGCCAAAACAATATCAGCGTGATAAACACCTTGTATTTCCCCCCAGCTTCTTTATTCGACAAAATCAGGCAGATCTGAGGACAAGCCTTGAGGTTTATGTCATCATGCATATGTGATGCACATTTCAAATCTAAACAAAGTCAGTGTATCTTAAAACCACCCACTGAATACAGATTCCCATTTTACCTCAATCCATTTAAGGGGGGG